AAGCGTGGCCTTAATTAGTGTAATTCTCCCACCAATAAGGTATCCAAAGAGCAAGGGAGTTGAACATTAGATGTTTGGTTCTTGAAGGTGACTCGGAGGTGGTGATTAGGTGGCTAAAGGGGGGAGGCAGCGGATTATGGAGTGATAACAATGAGAAGAATAAATTTAACTAGCTGAGTAGGGATATTGTGGTTCATTACAAGTGGGTGAAGAGGACTGTTAATTCTTTTGCTGATGGGTTAGCAAAGCAAGGGGTGGATAGGATTTCGACTTTTTGGGCTAATTTTTGAATTTTCCTTGTATTCTTTGGTGGAGAGTTAAGTCTTTTTACCTCCCCTTTGTACCTAAGCTTCACATAGTTTCATTTCTTTAATAAAGTTTCTTGTTATTGATAAAAAAAAAGAATGGAGAAAATAGTTCTAGGGTCTTTACCCAATTAATGGCTCTATTAATTAAGCAATTCCATGCAATGATCTTGTTCCTCTCCTTCTCATCAAAGATCTTGGCATTTCTTTCTTCCCAAACAGTCCAAACCAGTGCAGCCCTTGCACATTTCCACAAGACTTTACTTGAGAGCTAGGGACAGAGCATCAGGAAGAGAAAAAGGAGGCGCAAGAGAAAGTGCCCGAAGGGTTAGGGGACCAAATATGAGCATCAGGTTTAGAAGGGCCCAGACAGATAGAATCAAGCAAGCAAAGTAACTTTGTTGTCTGGTCAAGCTTGGAATCTCTTAAATCTCTCCTGAAACTCAAATCCCAACTGAAACCAGAAGAAGAGGAAAATGAGACAAATCTTTGAACAAGTTCATTTTTAAAGCGAGAGAGGGAATGCAAAGGCAAAAAAAGATCCTTGAGGGTTGAGTTTCCAATCCATAAGTCCTCCCAAAAAAGAATCCTATCCCCAGTACATATATCAACCTGTTCATCTTCCTCCCTTCTTCCTTCTCTCCACAGAGAAGCTTCAATGGCTGTTACTAGCCATACAGAATAAAAAACACCGTCAACCATCACCTTAATCATACGAGGAATATCTTCAGGGGAAACATTACTCAGAGTGACAGCTGCTGAATGGAGGTCTCTGCCGAATACACCATCCAACCAAGCTTTGCACAGAGCATCTATGGATTCAAACACCTCTTTTGTCAAGAGATGAAACGGAAGTCCCACAATCCGAACTATTACCTTGTCTTGGACATTCAAGTCTTTGGAATTGGATAGAGGGGTCCACTTGATATAGTCACAGTTCCTGGTTCCAGATGTAAGCACAGAGCATGTAGTTCAAGCTCCTCCCCTTCTAGCTCTACCAGGGCTTTGCTTTCCTCAAAGGGAGTAATAATAATAGTGCACTTTAAGTTTAATTTCTTCAGTAACTCATAACCAACCTTCTTCCAGTCAGTCAATGGAGCTGTAGAAGATACTATGAATTTTTTTCTCCCAATCTGACTTGGTAGCTGAAGATTAACCTACAATCCTTATTAGCTTGTCCCACAGCAATCAACCCTTCTGTCTCTTTGAAAGACACCTGCTCCTTCCTCCTTGCAGAGACTATGCTGGGATCATGTTTCTCCTTTGGTGTCTCAGAGATTTGTTCTCTAATAGATTGCTGATTCTCTCCCCTGACAGAAAGTCTTCGAAACCTCTGAGACCTCTTTCCAACCAGTCATTTGTTTTCCTTCTGGGAAGCAGACCATTTGCCTGCCTGTGTTCCCAAAAAACTCCACTAGCACCACAAATCTTCCTTTAGCATTCTTCCTCCTTTCTGCTACATATCTCCTACCACGACCTTCCATTGATCCTTTACATCCAGCTTCGAGCTTAGTTTAATGGCTTCTTCCAAGAATGTCCTGAACCACACTATCACTTCCTCTCCTACCAGGAATACCATAGCCATTTTCATTTCTCTGATTTTAATGGCCACTTCCCCCCTCACTCTGAAACTTTCCAAGAGGAATTGTTTTGCTTCAACCATCAGAACCCTTCTCCATGGTGCTGCCTGTACAAACTTATCTTCAGAAATCAGAACCCTTCTCCATGCCACTGCTGCACAAGTTCTGAAACTTGAAGGTGACAAGTTCCGAGTCACCTTCAACAATCATATTCTTGAAGTTCATTGACTTAGCCTCTCTGAGACCTTGAAGAACTGCCAATGCTTCTGAGACATTTTTCTGGCATAGTCCTCCCTACTTAATAAAACACCTCCTATCTCTTACCCACTTCTGTTCTGCTTCTTTGTTAATCATTTATTCAGATCCAGTGATCCACTCTTTTGTCTACTTTGAACGCTTGATTTTGTACTAGTCTTTTTTTCCTGCCTCTTCATCTCCCACATCTTTTTTATCCTCTTTTCCCTGTTTCTCTATAGGACCAGTCATTGGCCATGTTCTATATTTTGCCTCTTGATGACAACCTCCAATTGGTGAGACTAGCATTGACAACTAAGTCTTTTGCATTTGGGGAAGAAGTTTGTATGGCAACATCTTCAACACTGACCATACACTCCCCACTCCTCATCATACTTTCTGTTAGCAAACTATCCTGGATGTTAATTATCTTACCTACTTTAACGAGAGAGAGAGAGAGAGCAGCCCCCATAGATTACCCCTGTGTTGTGGACCAGACTATGGTTCTTCTGCTCCTTGTATTTTCTTGCAGCTCTGGAGTTCTTATCCATCTCAACTGGTTTCTCGCCCAATAGATCCTGTTGTCTGCAACTTTCAGGGTCCACGACATTCATTTGTGCGATAACATTTCTTCAAACCCCAATCTTTCCTATTAAAACATCCTTACATTCCTCCATTCTGACCCGTCCACCTTTGTCATAGTTGCTACAACCATCCATCGACCCTTCCTCCACAACTTGCTGTCTCACACCACCAACCTCCAACATCAAATTGTGCACCTAAGGATTAGACATATTTTCTTTTGATCAACATTTGCAACTCCAAGAGAAGCAGAGTCAACTCTTGAGCTTGATCAACTTTTCCAGTATTTGCATGATTATTGTGGAAAAATAAAGAGGAAGAGAAGAAGAAATGAAGAGGGAGAGAAGAAGAAATACTTCTGTACTGATAATGTGTTGAAAAAACATGTTGARCATACAACTTAAATAGAAAAAGATAGGAGAGACAAACTCCTAGGATCTCTCTCAATTACTCCTAGAATCTCTCTCAATTAGGGATTGATTAAATCTTTCCCTTAATCCTAGGATATGATTTTCCTAATTTTATTCAAATCTAATCTTTCCTAAATTTATTCAAATCTGTAATCAATCAAATCTTTCTAAATTTGCAGCAAATCATATCTTTCTTAATTTGCCACAAATCATATCTTGCCGACAATTATCATCACATGCCCTTCATCAAGAATCAACAAAAGGTCCTCATGAGCTTTCTATCTTTTTTTGATTGGTAACTGTTAAATTTATTGGATTGTAAAAAAATGATGAATTACACAGTTTTGTATCCTTGATGTTTTAGGCAGAAAGGACTGCTTGAAATAGTTTAAACACATCCTTTTCTTCCTGTTCTTAAATCTTAGACATGCTCATTGGCTATCAGAATTTGATTAATAATCTATATTTCTTCAATTAAAGCCCCTTGAAATTGAGAGATTGTCTAAGGTGGAGCCTCTCTGTGTGTAAGAAAGAGAATATTTTCTATTATTTTATAAAGGCTACCAACCAAATTGAAGGTCTAGGTCCTTAGGATGATAAGCACTGGCTTTCTTAGAATTTAATGCTAGAAAGGTTGTATTACGTCTGTTGTGAATGACTCTTCTATCATAAAACTCTGAAGACCCCCATCAAATCCTCTTTTAGGTAATCTCTCCCTTCTTTCTTACTTATTAAGCTTCCATTCCTTCTGTTTTGGTGAAAGCCTGGAAAAGTTCCTGCACGTTGTTAGATGCAGTATTGTCTATTTGGGATCTTCCTGCCTAAACTAGTCTTTCATAGGCTTCACTTGATTTGAAGTTGCACTTACATTTCATGCTGATTTTGTACATGAAGAGAACCCTGTAATTTTGTATTATAGTATTTATATCTGATATGTTCTTTTGATATCTGTTCTGTAAATAAGAAAGAAAAAAAGAAAAGAAGACCAAAGACAGGTATGTGGATAAAGTCTTGATCATGTTAAGTATTGGATATGCTTATCTGCATATGAAAATTAATTCTTGCGAGTACACTGAGATGCACTTACTGTATTCAGGTATATCCTACCATGCGATCTGCATTTGTTGACATAGTCAGAACCCGTGGCTTTCGAGGATTATATGCTGGATTATCACCAACACTGGTTGAGATCATTCCTTATGCAGGCTTACAATTTGGCACCTATGATACATTTAAGCAATGGATCATGGTAGGTTAATGTGCACATTATTATGCATTCTCACTTTTTAGGATCTTTAAAGAATTTAGAAAAATAACATTAGTTTTATGAGATGAAGATTCTAGGACATAGGAAAGCAAAAAGGGGCCTGGGTTTAGGTGGCAAGGATAGATCTATATGGTCATTCTTTAACAGAGGATATGATCTTAAAGAGTAGAATGGAACAGAATATATGCCACCCCTCCCCCAAAGATGGGATAAGGTAGATGATGGACATCAATCTTCTTAGGAAAGGAAATAAAAGATGTTTGAAACTGAATTTTCCTTCTGTAATATACCAAGCACAATTTTTAATTTTATACCCACAGCTACTTGAATGAGATAACATACTCTGAAGAATCAGAAGAATCCACCAGGTAGAAACAAGATGTATCTTTTGATGGTATAGAAATACATGCTATAGGGGATATATAAGATTTGATCCATCTTACATGGGAGGTATGGTATTACAAATAATAACCCAATTTGATCCTACAAATATTCTATATATGTTCTTTTTTATCATTAGGAAATCTTACCACTTTTTGTATCCTTGGTTGTTGAAAAAAAATAAAAAAACGGTGGGACAGATGTCTTGGAGTTTAAGATGCTTCAAATTGGAAAATTTTGGACCCATCAAATGAGCCCAGCCGAGTCCTATTTTTTATGCTGGATCCATGTGTATTTAGTCATACTTTTGGTTTTGTATTGTATATCCCCACTGTACTGTTTCTCAATGTACATGAGCTGGTTGTATATTTTGGTTGAGTTGGTATTAATATAACATATTCCCTTGTCAAAAAAAAAAAAAAGACTCGTCAGATTTTCCTAGGTGTCCTACAAATGATGGTTCTTCCCCTTGGTATGCATTACATATACCACTATGCCTATGCTAGATAGATTCTAACTAGTTTGTTGGAACAGAAAGTCCATCCCACACTAACCCATGAATACATCAATCTCTTCTTCTTGTCTGATGATATTTGTTAACTTTTTCTTATAGGCATGGAAAAGATTTAGTTCTTCTCATATCGGCTCAACTCAGATGGATGGCAGCCTTTCAAGTTTCCAGCTCTTCCTATGTGGTTTGGCAGCCAGCACATGTGCTAAAGCTGTGTGCCACCCTCTTGATGTGGTCAAGAAACGGTTCCAGGTGAAATCTCATTTGCAAACTCAAGAAAGTTTGGAAACTTAAGATAGTTGTTTGACAACTTATATCCATACCCCAATCAAATTTTCAATGTCACCTGTTAACATGTTTTATGCTAGTTTTCCACAGAACATCTGAATCTATCCTGAAAATGATTTTAAGGCCCTGTTCGCATTTTGGTAAGTTATTTACCCGGGTAAATGCACTTACCCAGGTAATTGTTTCCTAGGAAAGATTTATTCAGGTAAGTGTATTTACCGATGTTCTTTTATTTCCCATGTAAATAAGGCAATGACCATTTTATCCACAAAAATCCATTATTATAAGGGACATTTTTGTCCCTTTCAGTGTTGGCAACTTCCCCCAAGGTGGGAAAGTTACTTACCCACCTAGGAGATGGGTATCACTTACCCGGGTAGGTGATACCCAGGAAAATAAACTTTCCTTGGTCCTCACATAAATCTGAAAAAAGAACATGGGATTTTTGGTCAATGGGAATCAAAATCCCATTGACCAACTTTCCCCCCTCTCAAAATCCAGAAAAAGAATCCCCCCTAAAGGGTATCTCTATTGGGTGAGGGGTGATCATGGGCTAGGCTGGGCCGGGCTTAGCACCTATGATAAGGGTTATAGCTTGGGCTTTAGGGCTTATAATTATAAATATGACAGATTAAGTATGTATTATAAAACATTAAATATATAATATATAACAAATTTGTAAAAAAGATTCACTAATTTTGTAATAGTATGAAAATTATGTTTTTAAATCCAACCAAAAAATGAAACCATTTTTCCATTTGGGTAGCATGTCAGTGGTTCAACCATCTCGATCAAACCACAAATGAGTCAATTCATGATGTCATAATTAAATAAAAAGTCAAAAGAAAAATAGATAGAACACAAATTAAAAAAAAATGAAAATTTTGTAGAAAAAATTGGAACACTATAATATTGTATATTCAACATATTAAACCAAAAAAAGCATGATGAGTAAGAAGTATATTTATTAATGATGGAAATGACAATTTAAAATTGACCAGGAAGCAAAACTGTTTTCCCATTCAAAAGGTGAGTCAGTGGTTCAGCCGTCTTGGTCAAATGGGTCAGTCAATCTACTCATAAAAAAATGGGTCAGTCAATCCATGATGTCATAATGAAGTAGTAATATTTTTAAAATAAATATAAATACAAAAAAATTATAAAATTTAGGCATGCCTTTAATATCATATATTCATCGTAATAAACAAAACCTATTTAATTTAAAATTGACTAAATGCAAAATCACTTTTCTGTTGGGGTGGTGGGCAACTGGTTTAAACTAAACATTCAAGCCAAATGGGCTAACCCATGATGTTATAATTAAACAATAAAAATTTTAAAAATATAAAATACAAAATTTGTAAAAGTTGTCTAGAAAAAGTTTGGGAACATCTCTATTCTCTCATATTATATATTCATCATATTAAACAAAATATGCAACACAAAATGATAATAATACTTATTGTTATTGTAATCTTAAATTGCCATGTGTAACACACGTGTACATTTACTAGTAATATTACTATAAAGTAAAATGGCACATGAATGGATGTATACATTTAATTTATATAAATAATTGTGGGCTGGCCAGGCTGAAAATGATTACCCCTTTGGGTCTATCAACATAGCTACAGACATGTAAAACCTGGGCAGGGTAATAAAATATATAGTTATATAGAGTTGCTTGGATCCCTCCTACAAGGAGGGATCTTGAAAATTTATTAGAATGAATTATTGTAACCATTGTAATTATCAATGCTTTATTTTCCATCCTTAATCATCCTTTGATTAGAATCTTCCAAAAATGGGAGGAGAAAGAAGCAAAGCAATATTTGGATGGTGACAATTATTCAGCTGAATTTTCCCTCCATCCTAGGTGCTGCATACAGTTCCATTGGTGGAAGGCCTCTATGGCAAGGTTCAAATTTTCGATGCGTATCGGTGGCTTCCCGATATGCCCCTACAGGGGGGTGTTTCAGGGTCTGACCTGGTTCAGGGGGTAGACGGGCCTTAAACCGATCCCTCTGAACCAGTTTGAAAGAAAAACTTAAAAAAAAAATAAAAGGCGAGCTGTATCAAAAATTTGAACCTTGCTCTATGGTTCCCCATAATTGATAACCAGCTGGAGTCAGACACTCCAGATGACTAATTTATTGAAGAAATATAGACAATTTAATATGTAAATATTTCTTCACATACTTGAAGTTTGTAGATCAAATACATGGTAAGTTTATTCCTTTTTAGCTAAAGTTTAAACATATCCTTCTACAGATTATGTATATCAGTATTTGAATCTCTCTCTCACTTGCATTTTGGTTGATAGGCATTGATGACCCAACAAGCAAGAACGATATTGTTATTCAAGTCTTAAAATTTGAAGAATTTCAAAAGAACCTCTTTCTTTATGTATTTCCTTTCCCATTTGTAGTAACATATAATAATCTCTTGATCTTGAGTCCAGTGAATGAGATTTATTCTAGGAGGTTATTGGTTCTAAGAGGTGTTGCCTTTCTATTCACGTGTTCCCCTTGCATTTATACATATTTGTCAGTTACAAAACCATCTATATTTGATGATCACTTTTCATGATCCCTCTTGCTAAATTCTAATTTAACAAAAAAAAACTCGGATGAACAGTATGATGATCTTGGATTCTTTATTTCCCCCAATGTTGTATTATTTTGATAATAAACTAAATTTTATTAAAAAGAAAAAGAGAAATCAAAGGGAGGAGACCAACAGACACCTGAAAGAAAGAAAGAAAGAAAAAAAACAGCCCAGCCCCAGCCACTCACACAAAGCTACAACTTTAAAAAACCAACACAATTCAATTAATCAACCAAAAACAAGCAAAACACACCCCAAGCAACAACCACCCCCACTAAACTAATCAGGACCCACACAAAAAATATACAAAGAATTGCAAAACTGAACACTACTCTCACAGCATATTTAGAAGCCTCTTATACAAATTTTCTTTGATTTCTTCACCTTCTTGCAAAAACTTTTGAGTAGTGTTAAGATTTGCAAAAACTTTTGACACTTGGGCTATTCTATGGATTTTCTGATTGTTGAATCTTTTTACAGCATTGGGGTTCTTTAAAACCCTCAGGATTCTTGGATCATAATTGATTCTTTCCAACTCCAAGACCACATATCTTCTCAAAAAAACTGATCTGGCCCCACATCTCTTCCTCCTTTAATCAACCCCACCTCCTTAAACAAGCTTAACTTTTTTTTGGCCGTTTTTTGATCTTGAGTTGACACCAATCTCTTCAGAGCCCAAATAAGTTTTCCCAGTGTTGTATTCAGATGCTTAACCGTATTTACAAGCAATAGATTATATTTAAAACTAAATGTTGATGTTATAGATAGTAACTTGTAATTCTAAGCCTTTCTGACAAAGGGTGCTAATTTCCTAGCAAGTGTTTACCATCAGCTGATAATCATACTGGTGCCTGCTCTCTTCTGTGTGTATGTGTGCTGCAATTTTGCTTGCTTATGTTGCTACCTTCCGATGCATAAATCTTCATCTGGATAGTACAGATTGAAGGACTACAAAGACATTCAAAGTATGGGACTCGAGTTGAGCACCAAGCTTATAGGAACATGTACCATGCCCTATGCCGTATCTTGCAGATGGAGGGACGGACTGGCCTTTACAAGGGCATTTTTCCATCCATTGTTAAAGCTGCCCCAGCTGGTGCAGTCACATTTGTGGCATACGAGTATATATCAGACTGGCTGGAGTTCATCTTCACATGAAACTAACTTCTTTTTGTTTTTTTTTTGTTTTATTTATCATTCTTTTTGTTGTATTATGAAGCCCATTTGACGGGCAAAGGGGAATGATTCATGCTAAAGTTGGTGTTTCCAAAGATATAAAAAAGAAATAAAAAATAAAATAAAGGTGGAGCCCGGAGGTGAAGGGGGTACGTGCATTTCTCCTGGAATTGTTACTCTCAGGCAAGGTTCAAAGTATCGACACGTATTGGCCCATATCAGCTGATATGTATCATTCCGGGACCCCTCCAACATGCCCCTACAGTGGGTGTATTGGGGGGTCTGACCAGTTCAGGGGGTGGAGCCCTAAACCGCCCCCCTGAACCGGTTGCAAAAAATAAAAAATAAAAAAAACAAGCACAAAATGCTGTATTGATTCGCCCAATACGCCCCTACTGGTGTATTGATATTTTGAACCTGCTCTCAGGATCTGCTACTCACAAGTTGTTCCCACATATTTACCCAGAGTAGCACCACCGTGTAGTGGGAACATCTCCCTATGAATGACAAGGGAGATATTCCCAATGTGCAATGTCTTGTGGGTAGAGATGTGGGAATAGCTTGTGGATAGCAGATTCAAGCCCAAAGTGTTAATGCCATTCAAGTGAATTCGGATTAGCTGAATGCGTTGGTTGTTCGTAGGCTGTGGAACCAATGATGAGGTTCCATGTCAGTAATAAATTCATAGGCCCCACTGTAAAAGGTATGGGCCTCATATATTTAAATACTGGTACGGAACCTTATGATTGGTTCTACAGCCTGCTTAACAGCCATCGTTCGTGTTCAGCCAAACCTTTCTCCTGTAATGGAGATCACATTGGTGCCCTTTGTTTTTTCAGAGATCACATTGGCACCCTACAGTGAAATCGGATTCAGTGCTCACAAAACCGTACTCACACCGTTGGTACATTCCCTTGCAGTTTTGCATTGGAAACATCTCCCCGTAAAAAAAGCATGCAAGTATAGAGATATTTCCAATGCAAGGCTGAAAGGGATTGCGAACAGTGTCAGCATGGTCCAGTGAGCACTGAAGCCACTCTCCCCCACAACACATCCTAATAATCATGTATTTGGGGTGCCTGTGGGGAACAAATGTGAACTCCTTTTTTGTTCACTCTCTACATCAGTCAATTCTCTCTCTCTCTCTCTCCTTCCGTTTCTCTCTTTTATTAATTATTGTTGAATAAATATAATGCATCCAAAATTAATTATCATATTAATTGGACTTAATTTATTTAACATAATTCAATTAAATAAATTGATTTAAAAGAAATAATTAATTAAATTAATTTATTTATTAAATTTAACTTAATTGGCCTAACATGATAAATCTAATTCAATTAATTTAATCAAATTAAATTAACTAGGGAAACCAAACTAACTTAATAAACGTAACACAACTTAATTTAGTTAGTTGGGATACCCATTGGGTATATGGCCTCCCTAACCCAATTAGGTCGAGGGTAAGGATTGCATTGGCAGGAATGAGGATATGGACATGGAATCAAGGTTCTAAATATTGACAAATTGGTGCTTTTTTTTTATATTTTACTTTTTTTTTTTGAAATCGGTTCAGAGGGGCTGGTTTAAGGCCTGGCTACCTTCTGAACCAGTGGCTGACCCGTTACAATCCCTGTAGGGGCGTATCGGGAAGCCACTGGCACAATACGTATCGGCTGATATGTGTTAATACTTTGAACCTTGCATGGAATAACTAAAATACACAATCAATGACAAGGATGGGAATGGAGAGTGAAGTCCTCGCCAAACATTTTGGAAATAGTTTTGCATAATTACAATAACACCACTGTATATTGGACAAGTTTCTATGTTATCAACCAATTTAGATTACTGGTTTTTTCTATATTGTAAGTAAATCATTTTCCCAAAGCAAGCTTTTAATTAAAAAAATTGAGGATTCAAGTGCTCATAGGGAGATTGTCTCTATTGGGGATGGATGTTAATTTTTCCTCCCCAACAAGGATTAAGGACGAGGATTATGGCTGTTAATGGGTCAGGCTTGGGTCAAGACAAGGTGGTCATAGTCTCGAACCGATTATTAATCAGAACAAAATTATAAACCTAGAATTGTCCTGACTAATAGTTGGGTCTAAATTAATTATATGCTAATAAATTAATCATATATATTTATATATATGTAGTAATAAAATGATCAGGTCTGAATCAGTTCAAGACAAGCAAAAAACCAGAATTGACCCAATTATTAATCAGGACCAAGGTTTAAAATATCGATACACCCGATACGCCAGTAGGGGCATATCGGTATTGTTTTTTTTTTTTTTTTTACTTTTTTTTTTCAAAACCAGTTCAGAGGGGCTGGTTTAAGGCTCCTCCACCCCCTGAACTGGTCAAAACCCCGATACACCCTCTGTAGGGGCGTATCAGAGAACTCCCGAAATGATACGTATCGACCGATATGTATTGATACTTTGAACCTTGATCGGGACAAAATCATGGGACCAAAACCAATATAATTGGTTCGGTTTGGTTCATTTCATGTAGTTGGGCTGAACTAACCCATTGGCAGCCCTAACGGGGGTGGGGAATTACTTTGAGACTGGGGACAAGGATGGGAATTATGGTCCCCGCCCTAATCCCACCCCTTGACATTCCTAAATTTCAACATGTCAATATATTAAATTAATCAACAAATTTAGATACATGATAAATAGTAAAAATTAATAATTATTTGTATATAATACCAACACATAAAGTTAGTCACAATAAAATAATATTAAGATAAATTAAGAAAATCAGAATGAGTATTAATGAATAATACTAAAACAAATTAAAAAGTATTAGTAAGTATATATGCGTAATAATTCATTAAATGTTTTAAATTAACTATTTAATCTGAAATTATTTTTTGTATATTGCACCTATATTTAAATCCCGTTTAAATAAAAATGAATAAACTCTAATAAAATTAGTAAAAATCAAAATAAATGTCTAATAAAATTTAATAAAAATTAAAATTCATTTAAATTTAAATTATAATAATAAAAATTAACAACAGTTTATCTAGCCATAGTAAAAATTATAAACATTAATTGAAAAATTAATACAAGTTTGTCTAACAATTGCATAATCCAAAAATAATACTTGAGTTGGAATTAGTTTGGCTTTGCCTAATTGAAAATGTCACAAGGTCCTTCAACAAACTTGTGCCTCGCACAAAGCCCCTGCTAGAGGTAGGTCAATTTAATCAATCTAGCTTAATTAGCTATGTTAATGTAGTTTATATTGAAGTAAAAAAGTACTTAAGCTATGTTTGGTTGAAGGAAAAGGTAGGGAAAGTTGTACTTCTCCCTAAATTAATGTTTTTTTTTTTTCACTAGATTAGATAGGAAACTTGTACAAGGTTTGTATAGGTTTCTTTACCTTCCCCTACCTTTTCCTTCAAACCAAACACAACTTAGATTATACTCATATGTGGTTAAGTTAATTTATATATTGATTTAGTTTAGATTAGTAGTGATCGGAAATTAAAAAAAAAGTTGATGTTAATTGAAGACTTTCCCTATTTTGTTAGTAAATATATTATCCTAAATTAATTGTTAAATAAATCAATTATCTATTTAACTAATTTTATTAGGTAAAATACTTTTTTTCGGGGCAATGATATAGTGTTTAAAATTCTTTTTGATCCATTCTATCATCATATTGTTGGGTATTCTCGTGCATTGAATGGGCCCACTAGTAAATATATATTTATTTTATATAAATAATTACGGGACAGGACTGGCTGAAAATTGCCCCTAAGCTCCATGCTTCTCCTACAATTTTATGTTTTTACCCTTTTTTTTTTTGAGACAAGAATAAGGGCTCCACTCCTTATTTGTTGATTTTTTTTATGACATAAAATAGAGGTTCATCCCTTTATTTTCCTTCTATTCTGAGTGAGTAGACCTATTCATGGGCCTGGCTTGGGTTTGACTTTTACCAAAATTTGAATGGGCCCAATCTGCCCAAACCTTATACAGCCCGGCTCGTGAACAGGTCTAATTCTGAGACACCAGGTGACACCTAGGTGATTGTACTCTCATCTATGTTCGCCTTTGTGCCTTGCAAGAGACTAATATGTAATGCATGGAGTTATTTGTTTCATTCTTTTCTGTTTGTATCGGGCCAATAGGGGCCTATTTTGGGTCATTTCAAGTCTGTAATGACCATTAATTTGAAATTACCATAAGGTCACCCTTACATCTTGCTTATATGCATCTTGATTCTTAAGTAAATTTTCTTTTAGTGAATATTTATCAAGAAATGATAAAATTGATTATTAATATATAAAATATTAATTTAAATTATAATGATTTTTTTTTTGAAAATTAAGGTCTATATGTTATGCATTTTAGGGTCCATTTGATTCACAGTCGGAATCGGAATTAGAACGGTCCATTCCCATAATCTGTTTGGTTCGGATAGGAATGGGAATAAGAATTAAAATCAGCAGGATAGGATTTCATTCCCAAGGGAGGGGCAGGGAATGGCCATTCCCTCAAATGGGGAATGCCATTCCATCAGGAATGGGAATGGGATTCTGATTCCACCCAACCAAACAGTTGGAATCAGAATAGCCCATTTCGATTCCGATTCCAGACCCCTATTCCCGCAAACCCAACGGGGCCTTAGTTCTTCCCTCATTACCGGTTGTGTCCTGATATTCCACGCTTTATATAGAGCATTAAGTAACAGTTTTTCATTTGTACATATCTATATTTATATTCTTCTCAAACTAAGCCTTAGGTACTGAATTCTTGACACAATTACGCTCAAAGATTTGTTTTTTCTTTAAAAAAAACATTTTCATTATGGATGTTCCTTGATGTGGGTTAGCTTGGCCCAGCCCACATAGGGCCAGGAGGCCCAGCCACTAACGCCTGCTAACATCAGCAACAGTAGGAGGGAGCCATGCTGCTTTTGTACGGAGCCAATCACATAACTATCTGGCGTATCGCCAGGGCCTGCAACCTGACCTCGTACGGCTCTCATCCGAGGCATTCATCTTCACCTACCACCAGCACGCTCAAGTATAAATAAGAGGTAACTGCCCCTTAAAAGGGGCTGGAACAGAGTAACTCCAACATCACTCACTCATTTACTTCCTCTACCTACATTGT